ACCTGAATATCTTCTTTGGTGAAGTGCCTGTTCATATCCTTTGCCCATTTTTTAATTGGGTTATTTGTCTTTTTGTTGTTGAGGTTTTGCAGTATCTCTTGTAGATTTTAGAGATTAGACACTGATTGGATTTGTCGTAGCCGAAATTTTTTTCCCAGTCTGTAGGCTGTCTTTTGACTCTTTGGGTGAAGTGTTTGATTTTTAGGAGCTCCCATTTATCTAGTCTCTTTTCTGGTGCTTGTGCATTGTTACTTATGGTTCATACTGTGTTTATGCCATGTATCAGGGCTCCTAGCCTTGTCCCTATTTTTTTTTCCATGATCTTTATTGTTTCTGATTTTATATTTAAGTCTTTGATCGATTTGGAGTTAGTTTTTGTGCATGGTATGAGGTATGGGTCTTGTTTCAGTTTCTTGCAGGTGAATATCCAGTTATGCCAGCACCATTTGTTAAAGAGACTGTCTTTTCCCCAATTAACGGACTTTGGGGCTTTGTCAAATATCAGCTGCTCATAGGCGGATGAATTTATGTCTGGATTCTCAATTCTGTTCCATTGGTCTATGTATTTGTTGTTGTACCAGTACCAGGCTGTTTTGACTACTGTGGCAGTATAATAGGTTCTAAAATCAGGTAGTGTGAGACCTTCCACTTTGTTCTTCCTCTCGAGTAATGCTTTACTTATTCGGGGCCTCTTCCCTTTCCATCTGAAGCTGGTGATTTGTTTCTCCATCTCATTAAAAAATGCCAATGGAATTTGGATTGGGATTGCATTGTATCTGTAGATGGCTTTGGGTAGAATTGACATTTTCACAATGTTGAGTCTACCTATACATAAGCAAGGTATGTTTTTCCACTTATGTAGGTCTCTTTTGGTTTCTTGCAGTAGTGTTTTGTAGTTTTCATTGTATAGATCATTTACATCTCTGGTTAGTTTTATTCCTAAGTATTTTATCTTCTTGGGGGCTATTGTAAATGGTATTGAGTTGGTGACTTCCTCTTTGAGGTTCTCTTTGTTGGTGTAAAGGAATCCAACTGATTTTTGTGTATTTATCTTGTATCCTGAAACTTTGCTGAAATCTTCTATTAGTTTCAGTAGTTTTCTTGTGGATTCTTTCGGGTTTTCTGTGTATAAGATCATATCATCTGCAAATAGAGATACTCTGACTTCTTCCCTACGAATTTGGATGCCCTTTATTTCTTTTTCTAGCCTGTTTGCTCTGGCTAGAACCTCCAGCACAATCTTGAATAAGAGTGGTGATAAAGGGCATCCTTGTCTGGTTCCCGTTCTCAAGGGGAATGATTTCAAAGTCTCTCCATTTGGGATGATGCTGGCTGTTGGCTTTGTATAAATGCCCTTAATTATATTGAGGAATTTCCCTTCTATTCCTATTTTGTTGAGAGTTTTTATCA